ACAACGATTATCTCGATTATTTCATAATTTGATTGGATGATTAGCAAATAAAATCACGAGATGATCAACAAAATCTACCCAATAACGATGAATGTTCGCTATGCTACTGGCTGTACATAGATATAACATTTGAGTGACGAAAAGGGAAAACCTGTAAATTATTTTACTTATTACCGAAATGATTACAGGTTTTCCCTTTTCGTCACTCATTTTCATATGATTGTTATTTCAGCCCAATAATATGAGTTGAAATTCGTACATAGGTGTTAAACAAACTTTGTATAGAAATTTTGCATGCTAATTTATTTGGTTGTTGCAGAATCCCTAAACTAAATCAAAACCTTGATCAGAGTTATCATTATTATCACACCTTCGTAACTTGTTAGTATTAGGGTGTATACGTACGTATTGATTCGGATAGGAATTGTATACATTGCTGTTTAAGGCAGATTTTGATGTGCGTTCAGAAATAGATATAAAATTAACAAAATCTTAAAATAGTTTTTTGGCATGTTTTTTTTTCGTTTCTGAGTAATTTAAGCACGTTCTTTTGACAAAAAAATCATGAAATTTTTCTAGCGAAAAAGGAGTGATGACTGTTTGGAATAAAAAGATAAGTGAGAAAAATAAACAGTTTTATTTTCAAACCTTTTAAAAGACGTATTAAAATAATGTATTTTTCCGAATCAGTTGCGGTTGAAGTTCTTATCGAACAATCGGCCTATATAAAAGGCTTGATATTGGAGGTAGATATTGTTAAGTCACTTAGAAGTATGGGCCTTGAACATGTAGGGTGAGTTTTTTTTACTAAGTATTTGTTATCATATATCCGAAGTTACGCTGTCCCATCGGTGTAAAATGTCTGAGAAGAATTGAAAGCTTTTCGTGGCCTATGTTTCGACATAGAACGTTCTTCTTCTCAGTTACTTGGTGTTCTTGCGGTCGTAATGCCTACACGGGGAATTAATGGATGAATAGGGTATATGCTAACTAATGAGCACATCACCGTAGACTATTCCGGCCGTGCAATATTTAGCTGTTAATAACGATGATACATATACTTACATATTATCATTTATAGGAGAAGAGGAGATGGTGGAGTTGATATAAGGTGCAGGTTGAAAGGAAGGTTAATTATTATCCATGTAAAAACTGGTCTAATAATATAGGCAATTAATTAATATATTAATTTTAGGGAACCTCTATTTCTACCATGGAAATTTACTACTTCACCCATTTTTTACGGCCACATAAACATGATGAATATGGTCATGAAAAATTACGGTCAATGGTAGAAGTAGTTCATGATGAAAAAGGCATTCCCTAATTTTATTGTTAAATGTTTATTTTTACAATGAAAAATATGTTCCCTAATTTTATTATAAAAAATATATTTTTAATTACGGGGCCGGAGACCGTTAGAGCCTTGAGAGGGGTTGTATGTTTGGAGGAAAAAGGTACTATAGGTGTTGTCGTTGAGAACAATTTTTCAACAGGCGCTATAGACGAAGCAAAAAAATCAAAAAAATATCCCATTCTTTTAACAACAAAAGACCGCCTTCCCTCAACTTTTCTTAATCTTATTTTAGACATTATTAATAACAACCCTATAAATTTTTTCCTTTACAACGAATTTATCCTTTACCATTAATTTCGTTACATTTGTATTTACTTTGTTTATATATATTTTAATAATTTTCTAGTAAATAAATATAATCTAACATATACGATTTATTGATAAATAGTAGTGTTGTAAATAATTAAGCGCCCTAAATCAACGTTGGCCAAATAATGTATAGTTATTGGATGCAGCCAATAACGGAAATTATTTGGAAAATAATTTATTATCTGGCTGTGAAATTTAATATGTCAGCTTCTGGGCCCCGAAGGGGCCCTGAAATGACGCATATTAAATTCACTGCCAGATAAACGAGTAATAACGGTATTATCCGGTGTCTTACTATGATCGTATCAACAGAGGGTGCCCTAATTTCCTCCACCACTTCACTATCGGAGAACTATAAAATTGTTTAATAACACAGATAATCCGATATGTGAATAATTAGTAGAACCAATCATAAGTGGTTGGGGAAATTAGTAAATTCATCAACAGAATGACTTGAGTTCTTTTGGTGATGATTGCGATCATCATCAAAATAACTCGAGTTATTCTGTTGGTACGATCATAGTAAGGTGCCAAATAATTTATTTTTATTTAATATTAATAAAAACTGGCCAGGTGGCCGATTCCGCATACATAATCGTATTTACTTTTGCATGTGTATTTCGTGGATTCATTTATTGTATTGATAACAGATAACAATATATATATTAATCTGTATATGAGTATTTTTCTTGGTGTTTTACACTTGTTGGATTAAGTTCAACAAAAACAACTAGTTGTTTACCATTTTTCTAATGCTATTCTTGAGATCACAATTGAGTGATATTAATATTTATTTATCTCTATATTAATAAAAATTTTTTCTTAGCATTTTTCTAAGATGGGTCCATCCTGGAAATTTTTTGGTAATTTTCAAAACATTGAACAATTCCTTTTATATATAAAAATATTATTATTGATGTTAGTTAACAAAGTTAACTCATCTGAGCTTGAAGTATTGAGACCGTGTATTACTGTTTTAGAGGCTGAGAACACTAAGATTAAAGTCAAGAAAGTTGAACTTGAAGCTAGTGATATTGAGCATCTAAAGCAAGTTATAGAAGACAATGCTAAGCTTAAGTTCAGAATCAAGGAGTTAAAAAAAAATAATGAAGTTATTAGTAAACTTGAGTTCAAAAATGTTAAAGTTAGAGTTACAAAATTGGAAGAGGATTACAGGTTTTTGCAAAATGATAATATTATCATAATATCTTGTTCTATCAACAATAGTTCATCTAATTTCAATTCTGATAAATTATTACCAAAAGAACTGATACTAGAGGTTTTACTTTTTAGCTCCAAGTCATCAAAAGAAATGAAGGTTGATGCTTTCTTGGATGAGATATATAAGAATAAGGTTAACAATAAAATTAAGCAAAAAAATCAGAAAAAGAACTTCAAACCCAAGAGTTTCTTCCAACATATCCCAAAGAGAAGAAGCCTCAAAAGCTTAACTTAGTTATTCAACCATACAATAGTTTGATATTTGAAGTTAATGAAAATATCGATCTAGATTCACTCAAGTATCCTATCTCTAATCCAATGTTTCATAATCAAAAAATAGTTACCTGAAATAGATCACATAAGAAAAAGAAAACAGATAAACTTTAGCAAGAACTGTTCAATACTTCTTTAGAACTAAGTTCACAAGATTACTCTATATTAAAAAATATTAAATCAGAACAGATTATAGAATATATGAAAATTAATAGTTCTGTAAAGTGTATTGTTAATTTATTCAACATTAATAAGATATCACAATATTTAGCTTAGTTGTGTAATACAGCCATAGATACTAAAGATCAAGCTTCAAAGACTAATTAGAAGGAAATTATATGCTGATCTCTTTATGATAGAAATTTTGAATTTTAAGTTGATAATATAAGTAATAAAAATAAATTTGGTGAAAAAAAAGCAAGAATTTTAATTTATACTAAAATTGAAAATCAACTCTCTATATTGATGATTATAAATAATGCAACAAAAAAAAATTTAGTTAGATCATATTATTTTACACAATTCTGAGCATATTTGTTAAATTTTTTTTTATTTTATTCACAAATACTATCTTTTTTAAATAATAAAATTTTAATAGTCATAATTATTACCAATACAAAGATAATTATAAACTTATTACAAATTACATGTTACATTATTTTTGATCATTTTTGACAATTAATTCTATATCTTATATAATGTTAGAATTGCTTACAAATTAAAAAAAAACTATATAAACTCTGTTCAATAAGCTCAAATATTACTTTTCTTTTAAAAAGAATATATCACAAAAGTAGTAAGTCAGGTCTATCATGTTAACTTTTTTACAGTTTCATGAATTAGAAAAAAGTAGTTAGCAAATCACATATTTGAAGATTTAGGAAGGGTTTGTCATCTAACTTCATTGGATAAACTAATCTAAAAAAGAATAATAAATTTAATTACCTTTTGTTACTGTTTTACTATTGTTAAAATAAGAACCTATCTCAAAATAAATGAAGAAATTGAAATTTTAGTGTCTACTATTTGCTAGATATTTCAAAACCATGTTTTAATATTAAGAATAAAAAATAAAAACTCTATCTGTATAATAGTCATCAAAAAATATAGCTTGCTTTTAAAACAAATATAAAAAATAGATCATTAAAAATTAGTCTAAGGTAATTTGATTAGATGAGCCAAGATTTAAATTTTTGAATCAGATAATAAGTAATACTATTAAAAACATTATAAAAAATCATTAAATCAGTTTCATATTAAGCCCATTATGAAATATAGTAATAGATCAATTATGATTTAAAATTGCTTTACTTTTTGTAGTATTAGCAATTATTGTAAGATTAATAGTATGATAGATACAGATCTGTACTTAAAAATACTCTATGAAGATTTGATGTGAATAATTAAGAATTATAGATTTGAAATCAGTAAAGTTGTTTTTCAGCAAAATGAAGCATTTTGTTATATGACAACCTTAATCAAATATTGGCTTACAAGAAAGAAAGTAAAGTTTTTTAACTGGTCTTTTCAATTGGCTGATTTAAACTTGATTAAACACTTATAGGATAAAGTTAATTATTATCTTAGAAACCTTTCTAGTTAAATTTCAAGTAAAAAGAACTTTTGGAAAAAAATTTAAATAGTTTGGTAAACAATCAATGTTGAAACCTGTATGAGATTAATTTGTTTTTTTTTTTAAATATTAAGGTGAATACTTGTGACCCAGGATTTTATTGATAGTATATTTGGCTAATGGTTGTATTACAACTACAAAAGGCAACCATAGAGAGAGTGTACAACTAGTCATTTGTACAACTTTAATTATTGTCTAATTTAAGTAGTCTACCTGAAGGTTCTACACTAGTTGCCATATCTGTAACCCACTTGTAGGTTCCCTATTTAATCACTTTGTTTCTGTATTCATTCATCTATCTTTGTTTACCAATGACCCCAGTTGATACTAGTAAAAATATGTCATGATCACTAAGTCTTTAAAGCAGTTCACTTATATGAGAAACCTTTGACCTTGTATTAAACCTTTCAGAATCTTCTGTATTACATTCTTATAGCTGACCTGGTATTATTATGACTAAGACCAACACTGGTGATTAGAGCATACCATTAAACTGCTATGCCCTTTTACTTGAAATTTCTAAGATGAAACTATCTTGAAAAATATTACCTATATCTGAAAAAAATTCACTATAATTTTACACTTCAAATAGTGAAAAAAATGAATAAAGAGGTTGCTTTACAATTAATTAAGATAGATGATAACTCAGATTCTGATAAATTAATAGACTTAAACCATTTAATTCATAACATTCTCTTGCATGATGAAATTGTTCAATTAGAGCAAATCTTTAATTTTTCAAGTAATTTAGTATTTATATTTTAAATAACTTCAGCTAAGACAGAATGTTATGATAATAATATGTATTTTGATAAAAAGAATGTGAATGATGCTAATATATTCAGTAATAGCACAAATAAAATAGTTATCAGTAATTTCACTTATTCTGATAATGTTGAAAACTATTACTACAATTTAAATACTGGCAAAACTTATAAAAAATCTGATTATTTAATCTATATATATTAATATAAAAAATATATTACTCTCAAAAATAGCATTAAAAAAATAACTAGAATCTCAGCATCTTTTTGCAATTTTATTGCTCAAAGTTACAGATTAGATAAATATATATTTTCTATATTGATTACTTTTTTCCTTTTTTTGAATTTATAAGAAAAAAGAGTTATATTGTAAAAAATCATATAAAAATAAAATTTGGTAAGAGCATAAAACCCTCTTTTTTATTTAACAATTATTACTAAGCAACAATATACAAATAAAAAAATATATATTTATTTTTTTTATACTATTTAATTTTATTTTTATTATATCTTTATTGATCACTACAATTACTATTAATACTATTTTCATACTATATATAATTATCTAAATTATGTATCTTATCAGGATCATAGTTTGAATTATCTAAATTAGTGCACAAAATTAAACTATATTTTAGAATTTTACTTACTATATTTATTTCTTCTATTTCTATATTGATAATTGAAATTAAATATTCTTTGGCTAGGTTTTGAATTGAATAATATTAAGATGACAGGATAAATAATATTAGAAAAGTTATTATTATTAGTTCTAAGAATAGTAGTAATATTGGTTATAGCAATAATGCTATTGTTAGTCTTAAAAGTAGTAATATTATTAGTATTGAAGACAGTGTTATCATTATTGCTTATTTTTTATTCCTAAGTACAAAAAATCAAAGCAAGCAACAATTTGTTTTATAGTCTTTGTTAAATAAAATAACAAATTATTTAATAAATTATAGGCAAGTAAACTAAGTAAAAATATATATAAGCAAAAAATAACATTATTGCGAACTTATTTTGTAGATGAAAGCTTGCTTATTTTATACTTTATATTCATTCAGCCTGAGAACCTGTTAGAAAAAAAAATACAAATTTAGTTATTACATTACTCAAATTTAATGCCAGCTTTTTTTTACATAAAACAACACTGCTTAGCTATAAGTTCCAAACACTGTTTTATTTTGTTATTTTTCTGATAAAATTAAGTCTCTTATAATTGTAGATCACTTAAAATAGATTTAGATCTAATGATCTTGAAGATGTGAAGATTCCAAATTTCTGCAACATATAAATTTAGATAAAACTATTGATAAAGAATGTTATACTTATTACTCTTATAGTCTTTTTAAGTTTTATTTTTATCATAGAATCATGTATTAAATAAAGAATAATTCTAGATGCTATTCATATTAGTGCTATTTATTAACTTGATAAAAATTAATTATAAGAAATTAAAGTAACATTATATAAATTTTAATGCAGATCATTGATTATTAAAATCAGTCAAGTTTTTATTACTTATTTGAATTGATAAATCTGATTATTAAGTGATTACTATTTTAGCCTTGACCTAAACTAAAATAAAAAGTGATATTGCAATATTATTAAATCATATAATAGTATAATACTTTATATTTTGAAATAATCTAACAACTGTAAAATTAAATTATTATTATATAGTTGTGTTAAAATACTGCACATATATGCTTGATAGATGATTAATGAGGTTCATCACATAATTTTTTTATTATTACCATTAATGTAGTTAATTTAAAAGCTAATTATTATATCAAATATAGTAATTTTATATTGAATTTCTATAACACCAAATATATATTGATATGTAATATAGATTTAGCCATATGCAATATATATAAAATAGATTTTTTACCTGTGGGTCGATAGCAAAGTGGTTATGCTTCCAGGTCACTAATCGCAAGATTGCTAGTTCAAGTCCAACAGGGAATGTAAAACTGTGTTAGAACTACGATTATAGATTAACCACACCAGATGGCATATTACAAAAATAGGAAGATCTTGGGTACCCAGATCCTTAAATGGCAACAGACCTGATATAAAAAGGCAATGATGATTAAGGAGCTGAGGATAATAATAGAACAAAGGAATCCCCGATTAGAAATAATCCTGGTAAAATTTCAGGATAATAGGAACACAAAAATTAGTATATAAATAGTACTGTAAATGTACACAAACAATGTAAAAATGTAGATGGAGTTCTGATAGAAGGTTCTGTAAACTTGAAATATGAAGCATGAGCTATTTTTATTAGTATAATAATGAATATGAAGGCTATATGTCATCTAATGATCTCTGCTGAATTATAACTCTGATCTTTAAAGAGATGTAACAAGTCCTAAAAGTGTCTAAGAACCTTTAGAATAGCAGAGTGAGAAGAAAAAAAATTTGCATTATTCTTATTAAGATATAGAAATAGATTGGAGCTTATAGATATCAGAAAGGCTTTGCAAAATGCAAAAATACAGAACATTAACAAAAATAAATTTTTTTTTTTTTTTTTTTATTCTTTGACAGTCTTGTCGAAGCTCAGATACAAAATTTTACTATTTGAAACATTAACTATTTCTAGTAATCTACATTTTGAAATTGCAAGCCTGGCA